AGTGACAAGCCTCAACAAGGGACATCAGACGAAATACATATGCTGATTGGTGCAGACTATATCAACGCGGTACTGCACAGCAAGAAGGAAGTTAATGGTGAGACGGTGTGGAACACAGAGATAGGTAATGTATTATCTGGTCCAGCGTCTGCACCAAGTCGAAACAGTCAGCCGGTAACCGTGTCATGTGTCACAGCCCACATCGACAAACTATGGCAGTTGGATGAACCTCCAGAACAACATCAGCACCTGCCATCTTTCCCGCTATGTCGCCAGGGCAGCGGGTACCAAGTGGGTCTCTTGTGGCGAAATGAGCGTCGGCCAACGGATAACTTTGCTCAAGCTAGAGTCATCGCAACGCGGCTTCTTGAAAAGCTGAAGAGGAATGGGAAGCGTGCGCTCTATGATGATGTGCTGATCAGGGAGTACCGCGAGCTTGGAGCAATTGAGCTGGAGCCATGTGAGAGCGATGCCGGGTACTATGTACCGCATCATGGTGTGTTCCGCGAGCACGCTGCAACCACGAAGTTAAGAGTGGTGTTCAATGCCTCGGCGACGGCTCCAGATGGCAAGTCGTTGAACGACATGGTTGACCCTGGACCGTCGCTATTGCCGAGTCTCGCAGGTATGCTATTACGGTTCCGTGAATATAAGAGCGCGCTGCAAGCGGACATCCGCAAGGCTTTCTTCATGGTCGCGGTTAATCCCGAAGACCGTCCGTACTTGCGTTTCTTGTGGCCCGGTCGAAGCGACAGCGATGAACTGTTAACCTGGAGGCTAACGAAACTGCCATTTGGCGTAAACTGCTCGCCGTACATGCTTACTGCGGTGATTCAGCATCACTTGAAGGAGCTACGGGCGTTGTCTGCACCCAAAGAGCGAGATCGTATTGATCTCTTGCTCACGAGTTTCTACGTTGACGATTTGGTCTCTAGTGTCTCAAATGCCTCGGAAGCTAAGGAGATGCAAGAGTTCAGCGTGCGTGTGCTTACGGATGCTGGCATGGAGTTACGCAAGTGGCGAGGCAACGAAATCCCGTGCGATCCAGAGGCCGGAGATAAAGTTCTCGGTCTGAAATGGAAAACCAGTGATGACTTGCTCAGCATAGCAGCGCTAGGCGAGTCCGATAGGCCGTCTGTTTGGACCCGGCGATCCCTCCTCAAGTGTGTTGCATCAGTGTTTGATCCGCTAGGTCTAGCAGCACCGGCAGTTGTGCCGGGAAAGATACTGCTACAGCAAGCCTGGAAAGTCGGAGGCGACTGGGATGATAAGTTGCCTGATGGCATCGCAGCCGCATGTGCGCAATGGTGGGGAGAGTTGGCCGAAGTGGTGAGCATTGACATACCACGTTGGATTTGTTGCACTCTTGAGACGCCGATTGCGCTTCATGCCTTCGCCGATGCCAGTGAGAAAGCGTTTGGATGTTGTTTGTATGCAGTCGTCAATGGACAGTCGCACTTGGTATTTGCCAAGGCCAAAGTGGCACCTGTGTCTCCGCCCACGTTAGCCCGCCTTGAGTTACAAGCAGTATGTCTAGCGGCTCGCTACGCTGAGTTTGTGGTGAAGGAGCTGCGTGTGACCGTCACGCAAGTCTATGGCTGGACTGACAGTCTCACTACCGTTCATTGGATCAGTAATCCATCGTACAAATGGAAAACATTTGTGGCTAACCGCGTCAGTCAAGTCCAAGAGATATCGAAGAAGGTCGGCATTGTGTGGAACCATTGCCCGGGCCTTCACAACCCAGCAGATTTACCGTCGCGTGGGAGTAGTGCACAGCAGATCCGTAGTCCGTTCTGGAGGGGCGGACCAACCTGGATCACGGAGCCCAATGACTGGCCCACCGCATCCTCAACCGCAGCTACAGATGAGTCCAGTGTAGAAGTACGAGTGTCAGCCACCACCTGTAGTCGAGAATCTGATAAGGAATGGTGGCTCCGATTCAGTAAATGGTCGAGGGCACAGGGCATGGTGACTCGGATGTTGCAGTGGAAGCACACTGAGCCTCGTGCTGAACTCTATTTTGCAGCAGACAACGTATTGTACCGCATCGTTCAAGCCGCATGTTTCGCTGAGGATCTTGAGCTGATCAAGCAAGGTCAACCAGTGAAGCCCGGGTCGAAGGTGTATCAGCTTGCACCGTTTCTAGATGAGCATGGAGTGCTCAGAGCCGGGGGACGACTTCAGCACAGCGAGTTGGCGTATGGAGCCAAGCACCCAGTCCTGTTAGGCAAACATCATCTGACCGAGTTGCTGTTGGAGAAAAAGCATGTTGAAAGGATGCACCAAGGTGTAGAAGGAGTCTTGTCGTTCATCCGTCAGAAATTCTGGATTATCGGTGGTCGACGAGCGCTACGCAACATTACTCAGCGATGTGTTACATGCCGCCGCTACAAGGCTAAGGCTGCCTCAGAAGTCTGCCCGCCGCTGCCAGAAGACCGAGTTGTTCCATCGACTATGCTGGTCCGCTGTACGTGCGCCGTGGTGAGTCATCTCCGAAGGTATGGATAGCATTGTTTGTGTGTGCCACCACCAGAGCAGTTCACTTGGAGGTGGTCGATAGTTTAAGTACCGAGTCATTCTTGATGGCATTTCGGAAGTTTGTCGCGAGACGTAGTTTGCCGTCTCGGATCAGGTCTGACAACGCTACAACGTTCAAGGCGGCATCTGACAAACTGAGTGTGCCATGGATGTTCAATCCTCCAGCTGCACCATGGCATGGAGGCTTCTATGAGCGAATGGTTGGTACAGTGAAGAGTGCCTTAAAAAAGGTAATGGGAACAGCGTTTCTGAAGGTCCAGGAGCTTGAGACCCTCTTGTATGAGGTTGAAGCAGTGGTGAATAGTCGTCCGCTAACGTATGTGTCTGATAGCCTGGATGAGCCACCAGTAACCCCTGCAATGATGATGGGTGACATCTGGATGTCGTCAGAGAAGCCAGCAGGTACCCTGGACGCTGCGCAGATGTCATCGAGATTGCGTTACCTCAGTCGGACACTGGAGCATGTCAAGAATCGTTGGGAGGTGGAGTACCTCAGTCAGCTGAACAAACACCAACAGACCATGTCGCGCCCTTTAGCTGTGGGTGATGTTGTCTTTGTTCTCGATGATACCAAGCGCAAACAGTTCTGGCGTTTGGGACGGATCATCGAGTTATTCCCTGGTCGAGATGGCAAGCGTCGTGTTGCCAAGGTTAAGTTGAGTACCAGTACCCTGTTGAGGCCGATCCAAAGGTTAGTGCCATTAGAAGTATCGTCACAGGACGTGGCTCCTGGGCTTGCCGATACCGCTCAACCTGCTATCGTCCCTCAGCAGCCAGCATATGAACCGCCAGCACCGTTACCACCACCACGGCAGCAGGAGATGACGCGTTCTGGGCGCGTAGTCAGAGCCCCGGATCGTTTTTGACTTGTGTGCATTGTTGTACGGCGGTGAGAAGCCCTTTGGTGGGGAGAATGTTGTAAACCACCAGTTCTCAATTGGGAAAGGCCTTCGCGCTTATGGCATTGTATTCGTTGAAATGTTGTATTTCGACTCCGCCGTACCGCTGATGTTGCTGCATGGCATACGCTATATGCGTTGTGTGCGTTTTGCTGTATACGCTGTTATGTCCAGTTTTATATGCTTATGTTTTGCATGTACGCTGTTTCTGCATGCTATAAATAGCTGGTGTTATTAGTGTTCATTGTTAATTATTCGATGGAGTGAAATATACTGTGTAAAGGAAAGAGTTGTCCTCGTGCCGTGTGGTCGTACGATCCTGACAATTTAGAGAATCTTAGAGGGTTCACAACAAATTGTCTATAGTAATATATCGCCTATAGTGATCAAATTCTTATTTCAAAAGACCTTTATTACATTATTTTTGCATCGGTTATAGTGATTGATGTAAAATCAAGCGATGTTAGAGGAGAACAGGGTATTACTTCTTCGTGAAGAACTTGTCCAGTGAGTGTTGTTTGGTGAGTTTTGCTCGTACAAGTTGCCAAAATATGCCTCCATCGTGAGGAAATGCTGATTTTCTGTGTGGGTGTGTGTGCGTGCGTGTGTATGTGTCTGCGGGTGCGTGTATGTGGGTGTGGCTGTGCGCGCTTGCGCGCCTGCGGACGGCGAACAGTTACTTTCCACAGCGTACATAGTTCTTGTAGCAGGCACTTCGCCATCTGCCGAGTTTCATGATCTCGGATTCGGTGAAGCCGCTCATTGCTCCTGTGGTTGCGGCTCCGGCTCTGAGGCCGTGCAGTGAATACTGGATAGGTGGGTACCCTGCGCTGCTCAGTAGCTGACGGATTAGACGGGTGAGTCTTGGTGCAGTTAGGAACTTGCCACAGCTGTCAACGAACAGTGGTCTATTGGGCAGGTTGGGGCGTCTTGATAGATAGGTATGCATGGCTTTGACCGGGCAAACCGTTGAGTTGGTGGTTGTGAGCCGGACGGAGTGACCCTTGCCGAGTTGGTCGGTCTTGGACTTCTTGATTGTGACCTGTATTGCCTGCGGCGTGATGGAGAGGTCTTCTGTTCGGAGGCCACCGTCTGACATGGTCGTGGCGGTTGTGGAAGTGTACTCACTTGCCCGGAGACACGCAAAGAAGCCCAGGCAAATAGCTGCCCATACCATGGCTCGGTCGGTCGCGTTGAGGTTAGACCGTATCAGGGCCCTGCGCATAGCTGCCATGTGGGGCAGGAGGATTGGCTTACTGGCGTTTTTAGTTCGGTTGGCCTGTGCACGTGCCACTCCTTGAACTGCGAGGTCCACTCTTCGCGACGAGAGATCTTTGCCGTTTTCTTTGGCAATTGCCCGGATCGCCGACACATACAGGCGGACGGTTGACGCGGCATGTTGACGCGCCAGGTAGGCTACAAACGCCAGCATGATGGTGTCTGTAATCACCTTGGTGCCGACTAGTTGGCAGAATTGGTGCAGTCGTTTCCAGGCTGTCGCGTATGTGGCACGTGTGGACGCTGACAGGCCTAGCCACTGGTAGGCCTGACCCTCCAACATCAGAGGGAGTAGGTGCTCTCGGGCACCGGAGATGGCGTGTCTTCTGCTGTGGGTGCCAGTCGGCGAAATCGGGCCATCTGAAACCGAGACAGAGAGTCAGCAATCGCATTGTCAGTGCCGGGGATGTGGGAGACTATGACGTGAAAGTTGTGTCGGGCAGCAATGGCAAACAAAGTGCGTACCAGCGCCATTAAGTCGGGGCACTTTGTGCGTGAGCGGAGCCAGATGTCGCATACGCTACGGTTGTCGCAGTGGAAGCGGATGCGCTTCAGATGCAGCTGCGGTGCCCATGTGGATGCTGCGGCCACGATGGCAAAGAGCTCCATCCACGCGATGGATCTCTGGGATTGGTGCCTCTGCCACCGGTGTTGGAGCCACCGGCCGGCGAAGAAAGCACCATAGCCGATGGCTCTAGATGCGTCCGTGTAGAGGTCCATATCGGCGGCGGCTGACCACGTGGGTTCTAGGAAGAAGGCGACGCCATTCCAGGCAGGGAGGAAGTCAAGCCACCACTGGATGTCTGCTTTGGCGTCTTCTGTGATTCTGATGTAATCGTTTGGATGCGGGACCGTCGTGCTGAGATCAATGAGGCGGCGCAGAAACATGCGGCCCGCAGGGACCGCCTTGCAGGCAAAGCTGAGGTGACCTATCAGGGACAACAATTCAGACTTGCGGGCGGTAGGGCGGGTATGTTGCCAAGCCTTGAGGGCAATGAGAAGGTCTTCTAACTTGTCGGATGGGAGGCGGATTTCGAAGCGCTCTGTGTCCAGCATGACACCGAGGAATGTCAGGGTTGTACTAGGGCCTTCCACCTTTTTTGGATTGACCGGGAAGCCTAAGTCGTGGCAGGCTACCAGGGCACGGTCAAGCTGGTGCTGTGCGCCGATAGAGTCCGTCGCTCCACCAAGGTAGTCGTCTAAGTAGTGGATGACTGGGGCTACGTCGAAGTTGTGCGACATGACCCACTGGAGGGCGTCTGCGACTTTGTTAAACAGCGACGGTGATGAGCGAAGGCCGAAGGGTAGGCATTTGTCCACGTAATATTGCCCGCGCCAGAACAGGCATAATAGTTCCCAGTCCTCTTTCCGTACTGGACAAATGCGAAATGCGTCTTGGAGGTCGACCTTCCACAGATGGCAGCCACGGCCTAGGGACCGTGCGAGATTTACGCCGTCGTCGACCGAACAGTACTGTACAGAGAATTTGTCGACAGGGATACCATCGTTCACTGAGTGGCCCTGTGGTGCTGACAGATGCATAATCAAGCGCCATTTTTGCACCGACCGTGACTTCTTGGGAACCACACCCAAACCGGAGACCTGTGTAAGTGTGAAGGGGGGCTCTTGGTAGGGACCGGCCATGCGACCTGCGGCAATTTCACGACCGATGGCAGCATCGACAATGTCAGGGTGCTCAATCGCTGATTTGAGATTACGAGAGACTCGGAAGGTACGGGGACCAGCAAACCCAATATCGAACCCGTAAGACAAAGAATGTATTACGAATGAGGCAAAAGCCGGATCAGGATGCTGACACAAAGCGTCCTGCAGGTAAGAAACGTTAATGGGGGTTACAGGCGTGTGCAAATGGATTGGCTCGTGAGCGAGGGTGCGTGTAGGAGAGATGTGAGCAGCTGGGCAGAGTGTGTGAGTGCTATTGGCCTGGGTGAGTGTAGAGTTACCGGTGAGTGACTGGAGTGACCGAGTCTCCAAGCTGGGCAACTGCGAGCTATTGGTCGCGGCTGGCGGCGGCTGGCTTTCTGGGAAATTGCAAAACAGTTGGATGCACGCAGCAGCACAGCTAGCAAGAGAAAGAGCCGTGGATGGGTTTGTTCCTGTTTTTGATGGCTGTGGCCATCCGTTGGCCCAGCGGTCTCGTGTGAGTACGGTGTTTGTTCGTGCTGCCAGCTCGCGCCCGGCATTTGTTTGCGCTGGCAGCTCGGGCCCGGTGCGCGAGTGAAACCGAACCGTGACAAAGGCTTTCGCTCTTTAGTGCTATTGACTGGCTTTTCATACGATGCCTATTGATGTCTAGAGACATGCTGTCTAGCCTTCCCCTAGTACGCATTCACGGGGCTTTGTTGAAGTTCGTGCCGTGAACTGCCAAAGGGAACTGTTTGAATGGTGCTGGGGCGAGTGCGACATTACGGCGTCCCTGCAGCCGGCCTAATCGCGTTTGTCGCCACAACCGATTTTATAGTGATAAAATGCTCAAAATCAAACACCAACGCTATAGGCGATACTGACTGTAATATGGAAACGAGTTAAGAGTAACTCTCCACCACTGTAACTAGATACTATTATACAGTCAGAAAGTGCAACAACTAGGCACAAAACTGACAGAGTACTGAAACATGCGACGTCCTGACACCTAGCTTCAACACATCTCCGTAGCGCTAACCGGCAGCCCTCCAACTTGGAAGGTTCAAGGTTATGGAAAGACTAAAGAGGGAAAGGCAAGCGCAACGAAAACGAGCACAAGCTACAGTCCCAACGGAACAAAGAATGTCGATTGTTACTGGACGATGACGAGACCAGTAGGCGATTTGACAAAGCGGTCTAACTACAATTCGAAGCAGCAAAGCAGCACACCACCCAACTTGGGTGGGTCATAAATATCAAAGATAAGTAAAGAAGGGGGAAGCTTTGCGAAAACGAATTGTACAAGCCGAAAGCCAAACTCCTACAGTACTCCTCATGCATGACATTGTGATGGACTAGTTGACTACAAAACAAGTTGTTTGACACGACATACTTTTTGTCAAATCGCCTACTGGTCTCGTCATCGTCCAGTAACAATCGACATTCTTTGTTCCGTTGGGACTGTAGCCTGTGCTCGTTTTCGTTGCGCTTGCCTTCCCGTCTTGGGTCTTTCCATAACCTTGAACCTTCCAAGTTGGAAGGCTGTCCGTTACTTCAAGGCGTTAGCGCTACGGAGATGTGTTGAAGCTAGGTGTCAGGACGTCGAATGTCTCAGTACTCTGTCAGTTTTGTGCCTAGTTGTTTCACTTTCTGACTGTATAATAGTATCTAGTTACAGTGGTGGAGAGTTACTTTTAACTCGTTTCCATATGTCCTTTTCCTTTCTACTTTTATTATTGGCTCAATACCCGAGTTTCAAATTATTATCAAGTATTATTATTATTAGCCTTGAGGTTGACTCGCCCTTTTAAAATTATTTGCTTGCCTTTCTCTGAAATGGGAATGGGATAAACTTCAAATTCAAGGTAAACAGGGGAAGTGAACTGCCTGAAAAGGGAGAAAAAATGCCAGACCCACCAGGACTCGAACCCGGGACATTGCTTGTCATGAGGTTTTTTGCCATGAGCTGCCATTGCCAAGGCCTTGAAGTAAAAAAAACCTGTCAGCGCCTTAGAGGTTTGGCCTGGCCCGTCGCTCCGTTGGTTAGAGCATTTCTCACGACAAGTAAAGTATTCCCATTTCAATTAATCTCTCTTTCTCATTCCCTCTCTCCCTCTGTCGCTCACATGTATGAAAGGATGCGAAACCGCCTGTTTATGGCGCGACGTTTTGTAAATGTCAACAACAACAGGAGCAACATGCTTGCACTGGCCTTTGGAGAATATACTCGACCCATTCAAAATTTTTAATAAAATGTTTGAAAAGGTCTCACGGCGAGCGAAACAAATGTGCACAGTGGATGAAATGGGTACAGTTCTCCTCTAACAATGGCGTTATCCACAGTGGGAGACTAGGCGACCAATGGGTGTGTGGTGCTTTCCTCGCTTCGTCCGGTGCATGTTGCTTCGCTGAGACGAATTGGTGAAGACTATATACCACAAACATGCGATAAGCAGCAGCACCACATGCACCCAATGAAGAAAGGAACGCACAGCCCATACGTCTACTGTTGTTGCACAAACGGCAGAAGAGAACAGAGACGACCGGCTAGGTCATTGTTGTAACGCTGCTGTTGTAGAGGTAACTGTAATTTGTAATTTTATTGTTTAATGATTCCACAAAGGTTTTCGCCTATCGAGGGGGTTAGGTTGCACCACAAACAGGGCGAATGAGAGAGAGAGAGGTAGAAATACGGAGAAAAGAAGAGTAATAGGTATTCGCATGCAACGACGCAAATCCACACAATTCAGTAGACACTTCTTTTCTATCAAACGTTTTCTTTCCCTTCTCTTCAGGATAGTACAGGGAATGTTGTTAATTTGAAAACCACATAACTATACAGAGAATGAAAGAAAGGAAAAAGTCAACACTTCAACATAGGTGTTAAAATGATTAAAGTGTTAAAAACTCAAAAACAAACAGCTGCAAGGTGTAGACAAACACGTTGAACACATCAGGGAACACTTGTCACACTTTCACGAGGTGTGACACCAAACAACTGCAACGATAACACATTCTCCTTCTGTACACATAGTTCTGGATCTAGTTTACGAATATACAGAGCTTCTAACACAGCAAGATGTAACTTAGACCTTCCACGAGTCAAAATCGAAAAGATATCATCACTATACAATTTACGACAACTAGCACTGCCCGACAAATGACGCTGGATGGACGATGTCCGATCACTTAGCTCTGTCACCTTCGACGCCTGCCGTTGTTCTCTTCCGTTAGGCTTGTTTGGTTGGTTGCTCCGGTCCACACCTCCAACGTCCGTTGATTTCATGTCCGTTTTTGTTGATTTCATGGCCGTTTTCGTTTCACTTCTTGGTCTTCCTCGTTTCCTCTTGAGGAGAGAAGGGAGGCTCTTGAGAAGGGAAAGAAAACGTTTGATAGAAAAGAAGTGTCTACTGAATTGTGTGGATTTGCGTCGTTGCATGCGAATACTTATTACGAAACTGTTTTCCCACCGCCTCCAAACTACTGTTAGAAGAAGAGTAGAAAATAATTAAGAGAGTTTAATAATAAATTAAGAGAGTCAACCTCTTTTTTTTCTCTCTCTCTCTCTCTTTTTTCAGTGAAGATGCGAGCTTTGTTTATTATTATTATTATTATTATTATTATTATTATTATTATTATGTCTCCTTTATTCACTTCTTTCGAAGGCGATAAGCCAGACCCACCGGGAAATATTTCCATAGGTGGGACAGCAAAAATAAAGTGAAAAAATAAAAAGCTAAACCAAAGGGACAAGAAATAGGGGAAGGAAGAGGAAGAAAGGAAAGAAAAGAAACTCAATCCGAACTCCAACATCAAAACAATAATAAAGAATTTGCAGCGACAGCCGGGCAAAGTACATCAACCAATGAAGGGAGTAACAAAGGAAATAGCAGTCTTTATCAGTCGTTATTCAAGTCTCTTAGCTATTGAACACGCAAACGCAGCAGAGGTGCATCTACATGTTAAGGATAGTTCTCAGTATTTTAATCGAACCTTGGATAGCCTCCTGTTGCACAATAGCCAGATCTCCTCCCTGCACAGTCCGAAGGCATTGAGGAGTCTCTCCCACCAAGCCTCCCAGGGCACCGACAACCACAGGGACCACGTCAACCTGGGTGAGGGACCAAATCCTGGAAATCTCCCGCTTCAAGTCATAATATTTCGAGCGCTTTTCAGCCATTTTCTTATTGATGTTGTTCTCACCAGGAACGCTTATTATTATTAAGCTTATTAACTGGTTTTGAGGGAAAGAGACAAAAGGGAAAAGTCTGAAGAAAAAATTGACCGTCACCACCAGGACTCGAACCAGGGACCCTCGCTTGTAGCCAGCGATGCTCTAACCACTGAGCTATGGTGTAGTCGTCATCCAAGCAGAGACCGTTCAACGTTTTCTTCAGACTTCGTAACTCACACTTCCTGTGAATCCACACAGGCGGGTGGGACGCAGCCCTCACTGTACCCACACACTTCACGTACAAACTAGCACGCGGGGAGCCCCAAATCATAAAATATTAACTGGTTTTGAGGGAAAGAGACAAACGGGAAAAGTCTGAAGAAAAAATTGACCGTCACCAGCAGGACTCGAACCAGGGACCCTCGCTTGTAGCCAGCGATGCTCTAACCACTGAGCTATGGTGTAGTCGTCATCCAAGCAGAGACCGTTCAACGTTTTCTTCAGACTTTGTAACTCACACTTCCTGTGAATCCACACAGGCGGGTGGGACGCAGCCCTCACTGTACCCACACACTTCACGTACAAACTAGCACGCGGGGAGCCCCAAGTCATAAAATATTAACTGGTTTTGAGGGAAAGAGACAAACGGGAAAAGTCTGAAGAAAAAATTGACCGTCACCACCAGGACTCGAACCAGGGACCCTCGCTTGTAGCCAGCGATGCTCTAACCACTGAGCTATTGTGTAGTCGTCATCCAAGCAGAGACCGTTCAACGTTTTCTTCAGACTTCGTAACTCACACTTCCTCTGAATCCACACAGGCGGGTGGGACGCAGCCCTCACTGTACCCACACACTTCACGTACAAACTAGCACGCGGGGAGCCCCAAGTCATAAAATATTAACTGGTTTTGAGGGAAAGAGACAAACGGGAAAAGTCTGAAGAAAAAATTGACCGTCACTAGCAGGACTCGAACCAGGGACCCTCGCTTGTAGCCAGCGATGCTCTAACCACTGAGCTATGGTGTAGTCGTCATCCAAGCAGAGACCGTTCAACGTTTTCTTCAGACTTCGTAACTCACACTTCCTGTGAATCCACACAGGCGGGTGGGACGCAGCCCTCACTGTACCCACACACTTCACGTACAAACTAGCACGCGGGGAGCCCCAAGTCATAAAATATTAACTGGTTTTGAGGGAAAGAGACAAACGGGAAAAGTCTGAAG